TTTGGATTGGAAATAATGCTATCAGATTAAAATTTTCAAATAATGACATTAGATACTCTGAAAAAATCATGATGCAAGTGTCAGTATAAAGTATTTTTAAAATATTTATCAACTGTCAAACTGGATAATCTTTCCTGAATTAAGAAAAATTAATCATCACAATAGGACAATTTACACAGGACAAACTTCTTTTCCTCCTCTTTTTATTGAAGGTTTTATTTATTTACTTTTAGAGAGAGAGGAAGGGAGGGAGAAAGAGAAGAAGAGAAACATCAATGTATGAAGAGATACATTAATTGGTTGCCTCTTGCCTGCCCTCAACCAGGGAGCTGGTCCGCAACTCAGGCACGTGCCCTGACAGGGAATCGAACCAGCAACCTTTCAGTTCACAGGCCAGTGCTCAAATCACAGAACCACACCAGCCAGGGGTTTTCCTCTTCTTTAGAGATCTACAAATATAGAAACACACAGCCAGGTTTTTCTTTTTTCCCATATAAAATTTTTATCTTGGAAGAATTTTAGATTTACAGAAAAGATGCAAAGCTAGTACAGAACACTTCTGTATACCCTTCTCCCAGTTTCCCCTAATGTTGGCATTTTACATAGCCATGGAACATTTGTCAAAATCATGAAATAAACATTGGTACAATGCCATTAATTAAACACTAGATTTTATTCAGATAGTACTAGTTTTTCCACTAATGTCTTTTTTTCTCTTGCAAGATCCAATCTAGGATTGCATTTAGCATACATTTAGTTTTGCACTTTGCCTTTTTCTCAGTGAACAATCTATCTTGGAGACGGTTTCATATCAGCAAATATGAACATGGTGATCTTTAAACTTAGCTACATAGTACTCCATAGTGTGAAGAAAAATTATATAACTGGTTTCCTTCTGACATGATTTAGGTTGTTTCTTAGTTATTGCTTTTCAGTTACCTCTGTACATAGGTATTTGTACAAACTTGTAAGTGTATATTCAGAATAAATTTTCAGAGGTGGAATCAGCTGTGTCAAGGGAAACATGTTTCACATTTTTGCCGTTGTGGAAGGTACAGTGGATGTAGACAGAGGTGCGTTCCTGCTTGTTTGCTATATAAGATTGTAGTTTATTCTCAGATGGTGAAAGAAAGATTGGTTCAGTAGGGCAAGAGAGAGAGATAAGCCTGGGGATGTGGCAAGGAGACAGGCCATAAGGGCCATTCAGGGCATGACTGAGGAGCTGGACTTTGTGCTGAGGGCACTGGGGAGCCATGTTAGGAACAGCCATTGAATGACTGTCTCTCTTATGTGTCTTCAAACTCATGTCTTTATTCTCCTCTCACCCACAGAAATGGGCCTCTGAGAGAAGGGATCAGGGCAGATAAACCTGTTTTGCTAGCTGAGGCCCACCTTGGACAGGTCAAACTGCTGCCAGTCTGGCTGAGCCACACTCTAAAGGTATGTGGCCAGATGAAGCCAGAGAAGGTAGTGGCAGACATGTGACTGAGGCGGAGAGGACTGCCTAATTGCTGCACAGAGGACACCTTGACTCTAAGACACAGCATCTGGCAAGGCCTGACCCATCTTGACTACTCATTTAAAGTTTAAAAATATTTAGTGATAATTTTTTTTTCTGAATGCCTATCTCATATCCAGCAGTGAGGTTTTTATAAACATTCTTTTTATTTTTATGGGAGGACAAAAGCAATAATCATCATAGGATATTTGGAAAATACCAAAATGCAAAAGGACTGAAATAAAAATCCCCTGAAAATGTCTCCTCTTCCTTAAAGACCAATGTTAACCTTTGGGAGACTTTGTTAACAACTTTAACGCAAATGTGCACATATTTATATTTTTTATCAGAAAAGCAATCACACTTGGCATACTATTTTGTAATCTTCTTTTTTCACATACCAATTTTAGAAGTATATTCCTATGACATTAAATATTCTTTTGCAGTGTAACTTTTAAGGGAAAAGCTGGTTTTATGCATATTAGTCTCCATTAGTTCCAAAAACATTCTTTAAAGATCCTCAGCCCAAAAAAATCATATTAATTCTAACATATGCTGAGATAATCTCTCAGAGAAAGCACCAGTCATTTTCAAGTATGACTTTACTTTTAGAAGTGCAGATGTCTGAGTCACTTCACTGAATCAGCTTCTATATGAGGATGATGGAGCCCCAAACATTTGAAATTGGGGTTTAGCAGAGACAGGTGCAACCTCAGCCCTCAGCATACAGTTTGTTTTGGCATTTGATTCTGATTACACAGGACTGAGGAAATTCCTGATTCATAATAAAAAGGTCTACCAGTTCCTGAACTCTTAGAATGTTTGGGCTGTGCGCTATGAACTAGGGACTGTGGGAACCCCCATTTCTCAAAAGGGCACATTGAGGCTCAGGGTGTAGTGGGGCTAGTGAGAACTCAGTGCTGCCTCTTTGCTTCTCTCAGAAATTCCTGGTCATAGACTACGTCACTGTGAACTTGTTCATGAGAACATATCTGTATTTAAAAGTAAGCAGATTAGGTCAGAATTCCACCCCCATGCCCCTTCCATTGACACTTCTACAAGGCAGCCAAATATGTCCCCAGGGATTGGGGAGAAGTTTCATTCCAGGGCCTGCAGAAAAACCAGTTAGGCCAGTTAACCTGGAGGGGCCCTTGTGTGTTAAAATATGGTGCATATCACATCTAAGTGGTGTTTTAAAATTCTGGCTTTGAAAGTAAAGCTGTATATTATTTAGTATTTTAGAAGCCCCTTTACTAGCCTTCATTTTTGAAAAGTAATAGATGATCTTTACAAAAATAGTTTTAAAGATATATATATATATATATATATATATATATATATATATATAAATAATGTGAAAATTCCTCCTCCTTTCACTCTCCATCCACTCCCCTTCTCAAAGGAGTCCTTCATGGGAAATATGTATACATAATTTTTATAAAAATAAAATCACTTATGCATACTGTTCTGCTCCTTGTTTAGCTTATCTAACAACAGATCATGATGATCTATGATACAGCTATACTCTGAAATATATTGCAATAAATAAAAAAAAAGAGGTGAATTCATATATACTGACAAGATGACCATACATATAGTTAAGTGAAGAAAGCAAGTTGCAAAGAAATGTTTACAGCATGGTTCTGTTAAACGTGTGTGCACTTATATAAGTATATCTAGTTCATATAAACTTTTGAAAAGTCAAAAAGGAAATTTATTACGTGTTAATAGCAATTATCTAGGTAGGGGGTTGGACCAGTCTTGGGGTGGGTGGAATTTACTATGAAGTAGAACATGGGACACTTCCATTTCTAAATTTTTATAAACTTTTAAGTAAAAAGGTTACATGTAATTTTTGTTTTAAAAAGTATTTTCCCTATTCTTTTAAACATTATTTTCAATACCTTGACAATTTTTTTAAATAAACAACCCTGCATATGTATGTACAGATATAAAAGTACTGTTCATGGGTTGCAAATTTTTCTACTTTGCATTTCTTGGAGATTTTTCTTTGTTAAAATATTATTTTTTTAGTATTGGGTGGTGTTCCAAAGTAAAGACATAGTATAGCTAATTTTACCCTACTGGTGTTCATTTAGGTTACTGTAATGAAATCCTTATATATACTTTCTTATTATTTATACCTTTATGACATCTTTTTGCATCAGCTCACATAGATCTATCATTTTTTTAACAGCCACAGAGAATTCCAGTCCAAGGATATAACATGAGTTGTACAACCCATCCCCTGTTGATGGGTAGTAGGCTGTTTCCAACTTTTCACCCGGCAGACTTCTTTGACCATTCCAGGTTTTTTAAAGCTGATACCTGAATGCAGCATTTGCAGACCATCAGCAGACCAGTGGAGTAAATGAGGACCTTGAGAAACTTCATCTGATGGGGAGGGAAGCCAGGCTCTCCTGGCAAGGTCTAATTGCTATAAAATGGCCAGAGGATGGGCTTACTTCAGGGAGGACAAGAGAACAATGATGAGATTCTTAAAGTTTGTTCTGTGTCATGTACGCCTTAGAGAACTTGCCAGATGTCTTAGTCCCTGATAGGAGGATGTCTATCACCTGTGCTGGCCCATCAGTCCTGCACGCTGATTTTCCTTTGGTAAACAAACCCTATCCCAACACCACATCCTTAGCAGGATCATTAGTCCATGTGCTCTTCCTTTCCTAAACAAAGGGTGGGCCTGGAACCTAAACCAAGACAGTGAGATATAATCCTTGACCTAAGCTAAGGCTATTGGGAACAGGTCCTTTCTCGTCACTGTGTTGCTTAGCTATAAAGATGTACATCTGGAGGATGTTGCAGAGAAATTCTGTTTTAGAATGAAGCAGGTTTCCTGGAAACCTAGTCTGAACTCCTGGATCCAGCCCTGTTAACTCAGTTACGTGAGCCAATAAATTTCATTTTATATTTCAGTCAGTACCAGTTGGGTTTCTGACACTTTTTTTGGAAGAGTTCTTTTTCATTCACCTTTGTCCCAGAAGAAAACAAATTAACGCCTTCGAACAGTATTTATTGAACATCTGTGCTCAGTCTAGTACTGGATGATGCCAGGGACAATAAATGACCATGAATTTGTCCCTCCCCTCATAGCAATCACAGTCTACCAGAGCTTATACAGATAATCACAAACCACTCAGTTACAATGGTAATATCCACCATGAAGGAGGCATCCGTGAATGGGGTGGTGAGGTCAAAAGACAAGACTTTAAATTGACACTGATATATAGGTCAAGAATCAACCAAATGAAATGAGGTTAAGAGCTAAAGGTCCAGGTGTACATATGCCCAGGTGTTTCAGGGCATCCCCAATTCCTAGCAGAACTCAGAAATCTGGTAAAATATATTGGGAGTAGAAGGAGGAAAGGGTGAGGGAGGTGGAAAGGGGAGAGGTGAGGCAGCCGGCCAAGCCTCAGCCGAGGACGCAGGAGCAGGAGCAGGAGCAGGAGGAGGCTGAGGTGTACATGGAGCCATCCCTTCTCGTTCCTCAGAGTGTGGTGTAGAAATACATGGCTATCAGCATCACAGGGAGCTGGAGGAGGAGGCCGCCCAGTTAGGAGCACTCCAGCCCTACACCCACATACCACCCAACCACAGGCTCCCTGCTTCTCACCGTCCACATCAGGATGGCAAATCCAAACCACGAGATGCCCCATGTGTAGCTGTCGATGGCATGGCCAATGTGTTCGAAACAGCCCTGGGCACAGGGAAAATGAGAGTTTGAGAAAACTCCCAGGGAGGCTGGCTGCTGAAAGCGACTCCGACAAGTCCTCAAAGAAGTCACTTCCTTCCTTGTCTTGTCTTTTTCACTTGTGCAATGGGGACCATGGCAGTGTCTACCTCATGGGGTAGTTTCAGGGAGCAAGGGATGTGACCTCGAACCCAGGCCCTGTATAAGTAGGTGCTACCCTAGTGGTGATTACGACAGCCTGGGGGTGATTTTGTTTAGAGCTGGCTTTCCATGCTGCCCACAAGTTCAATGGGTTTGAAACATGCCTTTAGGATAACTCCACTTGTGACATCTCCGTATTGAGAGAGAACGCTGAGTGGATCCAGAGCCCCACATCTTCACGTAGACCCCTGCTGCAACTTGGAAGGAGCCAAGAACAAAGGTTTAGGGTGTATGCCCTGGATTGAGCAGGGGGCTAGCTCTACCCTTCATTGGCTATGGGGAGGGAGTACATGTGACTCTGCTCCTCTGAGCCTCAATTTTCTGATCTGTGAAGTGGTGATCTTAACAGCACTGCCCTCCGAAAGCAGTTGTGAGATTCACTGAGAATGCAAGGTAAGCACTCTGCACAGTCAGGGCCGGGAATATGCCTGTCTGATTTTGAGGGTGACGGTGGTTTGCACACCTGATCTAAGACTGATGGGCCCCAGGCAGCCAAGAGCAACCAGAGGGCCACTGGGACCCTTTCTTCTAGTCCAACCTCCTCTGGTTTCTTTCTCTGTCTCTGCACTTCCTTTGCAGTAGTTAAAGCACCTGGTTTGAGCCTAACTACCTGAAATCAAACCCCAGTTCCACCCCTCACTAGTGAGTTACCTCTCAGTTTCATCATCTGTAAAATGACATAATTATCATCTTTACTTCATCAGGCTATGGTGATAAATAAGATAAAAACTTAGCTCTGGCTGAGTGGCTCAGCTGGTTAGAGCATCATGCCATACATTAAAAGGTTACAGATTTGATACTTGGTAAGGGCACATACTTAGGCTGTGGGTTTGATCCCCAGCTGGGGAGCATAAAGGAGGCAACTGATGTTTCTCTCTCTCTCCCTCTCTCCCTTCCTACCTCTCAAAAATAAATATATCCTCAGGTGAGGATTAAAAAATAATAATAAGATAAAAACCTAAAACACTTAAAAGGATGCCTGATACAAAGTTAAAGCTCAATAAATGTGGGCTGTTATTAGTGTTGTGCTGTTGCTATTATTATTGTTGCTCACATTGCCAGACAGCCTGAGAAAAGTTGCAGGTGCTAGGTCTAAATCAGACAGACCCTGTTGTACATTCAGCTGATTTTCAGAGGGAGGGAGAGACAGATGGAAGGAGAGTTGAGAGAAGGGAGAGACAGAGAAAGTCAGAGAGGGGAGGAGGAAATAATAGATGGAGGGTGGGGGAGAGAGAAGAATCAGAGAGGGCCAGAGAGACCACAGACAGGTGCAGCAGGAGGGAGGAGAAATACCTTGGTGAAGAGGTAGTCCATGTGGCCCAGGCGGCAGCCCTCTTCATTGAGGGGGATGAAGTTGCCAGTCCGTCGACAGCACAGTGGGGGCCAGGGAAATACCGCCTCTGGGGTGGCAGCCCGGAAGGCTGACGTGAAGTTCACCCAGTCCATGGGACCAGAAGTGCCACAGCACTCTTGCTGGAGAGAAAGGCAGCGGGTCAGGCTCCAGCTCAGAGCAGAGAGCCGTTTGCTGAGGTCAGACAGTGAGAAACGGCGAGGCCATCCTGTGCCACTGCTGGGCCCAACATCGCCGCGTACTGGGCCTCAAAGAGGAGGGCAGGGCCTGTGTGTGTGAGTAGGAACCAGAAGATATTTGTTCCAGGGCCAAGAGGCTGATGGGGGATTTGGATCAAGCCTACACTTGTGACTTATTTTAAAATTCTTTTGAATTCACTGTCAACAAAACCTGAGCTTAATAACACCAAATGGCAGATTTCTGGCTTTTCCTAGTCCCTGTGGGTGTTTAATTTGTGGCCCTTGAAAGATGAAAGCATAAGCTCTTTCAAACATGGGTTCCAATCCTGGCTAGCTGTATGAGCCGAATTGGGACTTCATTTTCCCTTGAATCCTCAAAATTCTCCTCTGTGCTGCCATGTCGTGTTGGATTTAGCTAAGAATGTGGTTTACTGGAAACTGGCATCTTGGATTTGAATCCTTCTGGCTCTGTGAACTACCAGCTATGTGACCTCATGCAAACCCCTCAATCCCTTGCCTCATTTTCTTATTGCTAAAAAGCTGATCTCTTTTATGGGGTAGTTGTAAGGATTAAATAAGCTTTCAAAGTTCTTTGGACAGTGCTAAACAGAAATTAGTGCTCATTATATGTTTGCTGCTGTTGTTGATACAATATAAGTCTTGATTAAGAGCACAGATTCTGGATCTAGGCTGCCAGGTTTGGATCCCAGCTCAGCCACTTACCTTGGGCAAGTCACTTTCCCTTTTTTGGGCCTGTTTACTCATCTGGAAAATGACAACCACCAGAACATCTCTCCTAAGAGCCACATGAGTAGATATCATATACCAGTGTGAGCATAGTAGGAGCCTTATCTACCTCTGTGGGCAGAGCCCCAGGCCCCCCAGGCCTCCCTGCTCACCCTTGCCCATCTTTGCTCACCTCGATCATGATGCGGTCCCAGAGGCGAGTCAGTTCTTGGCCCTGGTCTGTGCCTGCACTGTAGAATGTCAGCATCTGCTTGGTGATCAGAGATGGGTTGGATACCATCTGTGGAGAGCCAGGAAGAATAGGGTCCAGCGGGAATGGGTGGGGAGAGAAGTCAACCTGCACCCTCAGCCTGAGACCCTCACCACACTACCCCTGGAAGTCATGCCCTTCCCTTGGCCTCTGCCTGGCTTACATAGTCCCGGTGGGTGTAGGAGGTGATGCAGGAGGCGCACTCGAAGACGTAGACGATGAGCATGAGCACCAGGTACTGGGGGGAGAGAGAGAGAGGGACAAAAGAACAGCCTAGTCAGGGCAAAGCCTGTGAAATCACACTCCCTCAAGAGATGGATTGATGGATAGAGATGCAATTTTTAAAAAAATGTATAGGACAATGTGAATGGTAGCATCTATACACAAGTAAGTGTTTGCTGTTCAAGTCTTTCACATTTTCTATATGTTTGAAAACTGCCATAATAAAATCTTAGGGGAAAATGAAATGAAACATATGTAAAGTATTTCCTGAAGTTGACAATATGCTTGGATACAATAAAATAAATGTCTACTTTAGAAAGAAAAAAAGACATTCTTGAGACAAGCAGGGACATTTGAACAGAGTGGGTATTGGAAGGTAGATATGAAGGAACTAAGGTGAATTTTGCAGGTATGCCAGTGGCACAGTGACTGTGCAAAAAAGAAAAATCTCTTTGACCTGTGTTTAATGAAAATTATTTTCCTGTCCTCACCACTTCCTCTCACCCTTAAAGCAACATGGTGTGGGGTGTGGATTTGCCAGCCCCACTGCCTAGAGATGTTTTGATGTGGCATAACATGCCTGATTATTTTAAACAATATCTTTATCAGTCAGAGAAATGTGCACTCAGGTATTTATAGGTAAGTGACCTGGTGTCTGGAATGTGCTTTAAAATACCCCAGGAAAGAAAAATGTGGGCAGGCAGAGAGTGGAGTAGAGGACACAAAGTTCGCCAGTCTGTGATAGATGTGTTGAAACCAGGTGATAGGTACATAGGGTTCATCAGGACATTCTCTCTACTCTAGTCTATGTTTGAAATTTCCCATAATAATTTTTTAAAAACTTCTTTGTCTTAGTTAATGACAAACTAATAGACAGACACAAAATTTTTTTTACTAGTTGGGTGAGCTTCTAGGGCTTTGGTTAAATTGTAATGCCAGAGAATTAAATGCAGGAAAGAAATAAAAAAGGAGGAAAACAGGAAAGGAAAGGAAAAGAGGCTTTTCATGTCTCCATCTCACAGTAAACCCAAAGTCCTTACCAAGGACCATAAGACCCACCTGACAGGCCTCCATACTTTTCCTTCCCCATCCTCCACGCCCACTGCCTATTGTCCTCTCCTTCACTCCCATCTGTCCTCAACTCATTTCCTCTCTCACTCTTACCCCAACTTGGTTCCAGCCACACTGGTCTCCTAGCCTCCTCTGGTTTCAGAGCATTTGCTCTTGCTGTTCCCTCCACCCGGAATGTTCTTTCTGATGATTCACACACAAGTTCACTCCTCATTTCCTCCAGGCCTTTGCTTTCACTGGCCGCAAGGTCTCCACACCCCCTTCTCCAGTTCCAGCTCCACACTTCCCTGGTCACTGTCTCCCCCCATCAGGGAATCCTCCCAATGATAACAGTTTTGTGTTTTGCTTACTACATAGCTCTGGTGCCTAGCATAGGGTTTGGCAGGTGGTTCTTGCTTAATAAGCATTTGTTGGTTGAATAAACAGGTGCTCCGGGGAGTTTAAAGCTCTGTCAACTGTAGAGGAAGCACAGTGTTGGCTCTGTGTCACTGGGCCAGGATTGGAATTCCTGCTCTCCCTACCACATGGACTTTGCCCTCTTTGAACCTCAGTTTCCTCATCTAGTAAATGGGTAGAGAAGCAGTAACTTCAGAGGGATTCTGAGGGGATTGAGGGAGCTCATTTTCTAAACTTAGACTCATGTCAGACACATGAGAGGTCCTTAGGAAGTGTGGATATTATTGTTACAATTATTAATGTTGGCAGAGACTGAGAGCACAGGCTCAATTGCTGAACTTTTCAGGTTTGAATCTTCCTGGCTCTGTCACTCACTGTGCAACCCTGGATAAGTAACTTCACTTCTCTGAGCCTCAATTTCAGCTGTCAAGTGGGTTCATGGTGATGATGATGATGATGATGATGATGATGGTGGTGGTGGTGGTGGTGATGGTGGTATCTCATGGTGGGTTGTGAGGAATAAATTAACTAATCCATGTAAAGCACTTAGAAAGTAGTGAGCACTCATAAAATAGTACCTGATCTGCTATTATTATTGTCTTTATCAACAGCACTTATGAGACCAGGCTCTGGAGACCAACTAGCTGAGGTTCAAATCCTAGTCCTGCTACTCAAAAGCTGTCCTCCTGTGCAGAGAGTTTTCTTCCCTTCCTCCCCTGTGTCCCAGTTTTCTTTCTGAAATGATGGAGACAGACAGCCAAATCTGTTATTGGGTAATGGGAAGGTGAAATAAAATGATTTCCATGAGACCTGGGTGTGGTGCCATGCTGAACACACACTAGTGGCTGCAGTGATGGTTACTATTAAGGTTCTACAAGGACGATCTTTGTGCCCACCTATCCACATTCCCTCCTCCTGGGGCCTCACCGTGAGGATCATGGACTGCCGGCGGCAGAGCGCTGCCCCCACTCCAAAGCTGGCCACGACAAAGAAGGAGAAGCCGCAGAAGATGGCGATCCAGGCACCAGCGAAGACATCATCCTTGCCTGAGATGCCCATCAGTGGGTACACACGGTACTGGTCAGCTGTTACCCATACTGTCTCAGCAAAGAGAGCCAGACCTGACAGCTAGACAGAGAAGCCAGTTAGAAAGACCTGCTCAGGGGCAGCAGCCCCAGCTGCTTGGGCCTCCATGAGCAAGTTCCTTCCTCATTCTGAGCCCCCACTGCCTGTTCAGAAAAGTGGGCACATAAGAAGAATGGCAAAGAGCTCTGGCTGGGTGGTTCAGTTAGTTGAAGTGTCGTCCTGTACATCAAAAGGCTACAGGTTTGATTTCTGGTCATGGCCCATAGCTAGCTTTGGATGGGAGGCAACCAACTGATGTTTCTCTTTCACATCAAATGTTGTCTCACATTGATGTTTCTGTTTCTCTTTCTCTCTTCCTTCTCTCTCTTTAAAATCAATAAACATATCCTTGGGTGAAGATTTAAACAATTTATTTAAAAAGTAAGTGGCAAAGACATCACCTTTCATGAGCAGGGATGAGGCTAGGCAGAGGTCAGGAGGAGAGGGCCCAGTCAGGACCCACTGCCCCCTGCCACTGCCAGTTGCTTCAAAGATGGAAGGAGATGCCACATGCAAAGCCTAGAGCACATGACTGGCACAGAGGAGATGCTCAGTCAAGCTGCCTTCCCTTACTAGTGTTATTCCCAGAAGTGCAGAATCTGGTCATTACCAGAAAAATTTTAAATACATCAATCCTTTGATCCAGCAAATCCGCTTGGTGAAGTCAATCCTACACATACACCTGCCCATGCAGGAAAATCACAAACCCGCAAGGTGATCCCCTGTAGCACTGCGGGTAGAGGAAGCAGGATGTCACACAATGGCGTGCTATGCAGTTGTGAAAAAGGGCAGGGAGGCTCTCTTGAGGACAGCTGTGGAGTGGCCTACAGCCTGTGTGAGTAGGAAGAAATGGGAGGCATGAAAAAGGACATGGAATGAGCTACATTTTAGGCATGAAAGGAGAGAAAGTAGTTATATATGCTACTATTGCTTGCATTTGTAGCATGCTGAAAACACTGAACATCTGATTACCTATGGGATGAGGGATACAGAACAAAAGAGAGAAAATGCTTGGTGGATTCTTTTGACAACACTAAAACTAACACTCTTAAAGTACTTTCTGTGTGCCAGGCATTAGGCCTTGTAACTGGTTTCTGTGTAATAATCATAAATTGCTAACTTTAGTGGACATTGTTGTTATGGCTAATACAACGAGTAACCATGTGTGTAAAACTGGTCTAAGAACATAATCCAAAGCTCATTTTATCCTCTTAGCATTAATATTTTATCTCCATCTTTAAAAAAATTTCTATTGACTGATTTGAGAGAGAGAGAGAAGGAGTGGGGGAGAGAGAGAGAGAGAGAGAGAGAGAGAGAGAGAGAGAAACATTGCTTTCCCACTCTATCCACACATCATTGGTTGCCTCTTGTATGTGCATATCAGGACGATCCTCTAACTGAGCTACTTGGCCAGGGTGAGTCTCCATCTTACAGATGAGAAAATTGAGGCTCAGAGAGGTGACCCCAAGTCTACAATAGAACATGGCAGAGCTGGGATTTGAACCCAGGCTGTCTTGCCTCAGAGCCATGTACAAGTATCACATATTTTTTTAAAAAAAACATTGAATGTTAAGTAAAAGACTTTGTTATTATTTATTATCATGGGCTTGCTGTGTGCCAAGCAGGTATTTTATGTCCATAATCACATTAATGTTCATAGCTAGCATTTGTTAATCATTTTTTTCTGAGCTGCGGATGATACATAGATTAATCTACACAAATATCCCCCACAATGCAGTCATAATCTATAGATGGGGAAACAGGCACAGAGAAATAAAGTCACTTGCTGAAGGTCACACAGCTGAGGAGAGGCAGAGCTGAGATTCAAATCCAGGATGCTCTGACTAGAGAGCCTGCAGCACTGGCCTGCTGGGGAGTCCTGGACCCTCGCCCTCCACCCCAGGCTCAAGACTGCCCTCTTCGCCCCACCCACCCACCCACTCGGCTCCCAGCACTGGGGGATGTCTCACCAGAATAATGATGTTGCCCACGACCAGCATCCCCACCACAACCGGAGACCCCTTCTCCACCTCTGCTGCTGCAGAAGCCATAGTCCTGTCTGTGACACATGAGCAGGGATGACGCCATGCAAATGCCAGGAGGGGAGGGAGTGCCCACTGCCCCCACTCCACTCCTCAGTTGCAAGGGGCTGCTCCTGGCTCTCTGCTAGGCCCAGGCGGTACTGAGTGTGCCCAGTTTCTCACTCCCTCATAGTGGGCCATTTTAGAGTAGAGGACAGTGAGGCCCAGGCAGGGCAGTCACCGGCCAGAGCTCAGCAATGGCCTTCCTTGAGCCTCAGCCCACTCCAGCTCCTTCTGCCCATCCAAACCCCCAGAGCTCCCTTCTCACCTTCTCTACCTGAAGCTTCTCTGGCCCGGCCCTCCCACAGTGGCTCTCTATATATGCCCAGGTCTCTCTTCGGGCCAGTCTCCCAGGAGGTGAGGAAGCTATCTGGAGAAAGGGACAAGAGGTCAAACAGGCAAACCAGCATTGGAGACAGCTTTATGTGCCCCACCCGCAAGTGATTTATAGACTTGACTTTCCAGATTGTGCTAGTATCTGACCACATGAGCAGGGTGATGTGCCCCTGGGAAGGCTGCTGTGGTGTTGGACAGGAGTGGGGTTGGGAAAGTAAGTGTACCCCTTGATGTCTTTCATTAAGACATGGGCCTTCCTGGGAGAAGAGAAATCCAAGTTGGACCTGGACAGGAATCCTAAATCACAGAATTCCCTCCTCTTCTGGTGGTTCCACCTGTCCAAGGATAGGAGCCCATGGGGAGGCCCAGGTAGGGACCCTGGTGAGGACAGGGGTAGGCCGTGGCAGGGAGGTGGAGAGGAGATGAGGAGGCAGGTGGGCTGAGAAGGCTGATTTTATGGGCTGTAAGCTCAGGGGAGAGGATGGGAGGAGATGGGTGTGTGAGGGGAGTTTGAGAGGAGTGTTCAACGAGAGGGAAGAGAAGTGTGTTAGAAAAAAGGACGAGGCACACTGAATGGGCTTGGTGGGGGAAAAGTCCCCCTTCCTCCTTCTCCTCTCCCTCCGCCACCCCCCCCCCCCCCCCCAACACACACACGTAGTGAAAAAGCAGGGTTACAGTGAGGAGCCAAAGGGTGGAAACGTCTTCAGGCTGCAGAAGCATTGACCTAGAATCAAATCTCAGTTCAGTTTTCTCTGTGCTGAGCGACTTGGCCTGCCCGTTTGCCCATTTGCCGAAGGGGTGTCAATCAACAGACCGCTTTCCTGGGTGGCAATGAGAGCAGACTGCGGGGATGTGTTCCAAAGACGTCTTTCAGTCCCGGTGCGCAAGTGGCCGAGCCTCAGCAGCTGCGCTTCCCAGAGGCCCACGTTCTCTCCGATGGCGCCCCCTAGTATCGGGAGGCTGGTTCTGCAGGCGAAAGTGGTGGCTTAAGGACTCCAGTCCTCGTCCGGAATTTCTTTAGACTGGGGGTGGGGAAATTTACTGTGTTCTCTCTCTGAACAGCAGCTCGACGGGTGTATGAGCAACTGGCAAACAAATATAACTTAAAATTCTATTGTTAAGACACTGGCTTGGTATTAAAATACATGTCATGTATTCTAATTAAAATGGATAATTGGTTTTTAGTCAATTCACCTTACATTTAAAATAAGTTTTCTCTGTTGATTTACATTTATATTAAAGACTAATGAGAAATTGTAAATAATAATGTACATGACCTATCAAGTACATCTTATAAATTTTAGCTAAAATAACTTGCCAAACAATAAGGCCAGGCTAATAATATGAAATTTTTAAATTTTCAAATAGTTGATAACTGTTGGTAGTTAGAAGTTATATAAAATGTCTAGGAAAGGCAAAAGGGTGTCATCAATAGTACATTAATATATCACCAGTCATAAAAGGGATCCATCTTGTTCTGAAGCATGAAGCCAATGTACTTTGTCAAACTTGAATTTTCAATATCCTTTCTTATTACTATGTATACTATATAAGCCTGTCTTCAAACAATGCATTTTGAAGTGCTAATTTCTTCCTTTAAAAAAATATCACAGTGCCACCCTGGCTGCTGTGGCTCAATGGATTGAGCGCCGGCATGTGAACTGAAAGGTCACCACTTTGATTTCCAGTCAGGGCACATGCCTGGGTTGTAGGCCAGGTCCCCAGTTGGGGGCGTGTGAGAGGCAACCAACTTTTTGCATATTGATGTTTCTCACCCTCTCTTCCCCTCTTGCTAAAAATAAATAAATGGAATCTTTAAAAAAATTATTTAAAAAAATCACAATGCCAAGAAGTCCTAAAGATGACCTCCCTACCATTTGCCCCTACCAGATACTTTGAATGTTTTCATAATAACCCCAAACTGGAAACAATCCAAATGCCCCTTAACAGTAGAATGGATGAGTACACTAATGTACCTGTATACAATGGATACTATTCAGCAATAAAAGGCAACAAACTATTGATATATAAAACTACAGGGATGAATCTCTAAAATATTATACTAAATGAAAACAGCCATACACAAAAGACTACAACTGAAGGATACTAGATGTGAAGTTCTAGAACAGGAAAACCAATCTAAAGTGATGAAAGCCAGGGGAGAGGTTACCCTTGGGGCATTGTGACTAGGAGGGACAGGAAGGGACTTCTCTTTCTTGATCTGAACACTTGTTACACAGAGGCATTCAGATTGTGAGACTTCATCAAGCTGTACAGTTACAGTAAGTGTACGTGTGTGTGTGTGTGTGTATGTCTTCTAAAGAGGGTAAATCCTTTCAAAGAGACACAGTCAATGTGTTAAAGTGGTATTTCCCAAAGGCAGCATATGAGATGATTTTAGGGTGTCTATGGACATCAATAGAAATAGCATAAAATGATATAAAACTCAGGTGATGAGGAAATGATCAAGTTTAATCCTGATTGGTGACGTGGGGAAAAGGTCAGGAGTTTGATGCTACTGTGTCTTAAACATGTTTTTAGCCTTGCCTAGAGCAGCTCTCAACCAGCCTCAATGTCTGACTACAATTTAAAAATATATTTTCATTTTATTTATTTTTAAGACTAGGTGTTTTGTTTTCTTCTTAATTATATCTTATTGATTTTGCTATTATAGTTGTCCCAGTTTTTACCCCTTTGCTCACCTCCACCCAGCACTCTCTCACTCCCTCAGGCAATCCCCACACCACTGTTCATGTCCATGGGTCATATGTATAAGTTCTTTTGCTACTCCATTTCCTATATTGTACTTTACATCCCCATGGTTGTTCTGTGACTATCTATTTGTACTTCTTAATCCCCTCACCTCTTCACCCATTCCCCTAAACACCCCCTCTCATCTGGCAACCATCAAAACGCTCTCATATCCATGATTCTGTCTCTGTTCTTGTTTGCTTAGTTTGTCTTTAAGAGCCAATTGTTGATAGATTTGTATTTATTGTCATTTATTGTTCATAGTTTTGATCTTCTTTTTCTTAAATAATTCCCTTTAACGTTTCATATAATAATAATGTGATGTTGATAAACTCCTTTAATTTTTTCTTGTCTGGGAAGCTCTTTATCTGCACTTTGATCCTAAATGATAGCTTTGCTGGGCAGAGCAATCTTGGCTGTAGGTTCCTACTTTTCATGATTTTGAATATTTCTTGCCAGTCCCTTCTTCTGCAAAGTTTCTTTGGAGAAATCAGCTGACGGTCTTATGGGAACTCTCTTGTAGGTAACTAACTGCTTTTCTCTTGCTGCCTTTCTGAGTCTCTATCTTTAACCTTTGGCATATTAGTTATAATGTGTCTTGGAGTGGACCTTTTGCATCCATCTTGTTTGGGACTCTCTGCATTTCCTGGACTTGCATGTCTATTTCCTTGACTTGCATGTCTATTTCTTTCACCAAATTAGGGAAGTTTTCTTTCATTAGTTTTTCAAATAGATTTCCAATCTCTTGCTTTTTCTCTTCTCCTTCTGGAACCCATATGATGCGAAAGTTGGAATACTTGAAGTTGTCCCAGAGGCTGCTTACATTATTTTCATTTTTTTAATTCTTTTTTCATCTTGTTCTGATTGGTTGTTTTTTGATTTCTTATATTCCAAATCATTGTGATCCTCAGCTTCATCCACTCTATTGTTGTTTCCCTGTAAGTTGTTATTTATTTCAATTAGTGAATCCTTTGTCTCTGATTGGATCTTTTTTATGCTGTTGAGGTCCCCATTAAGTTCCTTGAGCATCCTTACAAAACCAGTATTTTGAACTCTGCATCTGATAGATTGCTTATCTTCATTTTGTTTAGTTTTTTCTGGAGTTTTGATATGTTTTTTCATTTGGGTCATTTTTTTTTTTTTTGGTCTCCTTAATTTGGCAGCCTCCGTGTGCTTGTTTCTATATATTAGGTAGAGCTGCTATGAATTCCTGTCTTGGCAGTGTTGCCTAATGTAGTAGGTGTCCAGTAGGGTCCAGTGGCACAGTGTCCTCTATTACCCAAGCTAGGTACTCAAGGTGTACCATTCATGTGGGCTGAGTACACCTTCATCTTGTAGTTGAGCCTAGATAGTTGTTGGTAGGTCAATGAGAGGGATTTACTCAGGCCAATCAGCTGTAAGGACTGGCTGTGTCCACTGACCACCAAACCAGCCCTCCATGGAGGATCAGCTGTGCAAGGGCAGGATGGTCGTGCTCCAATGTGCTCTGTATCTGTCCACCAGCTGCACAGGTTCTGGGTTTTCCCAGGTGGTGCCAGCCAAGGTCAGCCCTGACTTGTGTTCTGTCTGGGGCCACTCTGCATGAGCTATCTGATATGGCTGCTACTTGTGCTGGGCTTGGAGATTCCCAAGAAAATCCAAGCTATGAATCTAGGCTGGCTGCTGCTAGTGCTGGTCCTGGGGCCACTTAGTAAGAGGTACAAGGGCTGGAGGCTTGCTGAGGCCAGCTCTTGCTTGTTTGATAGGATTTAGGAAGTTGTGAAGCATGAGCCAAGACCAGCCATTCACATGGAAAAGCCACTTTTAACAGCTTGGGTGGGCCTATAAGTTGGGTGGGGCAGAGTATCAGGGGTTCTCCAGGACAGGGCAAACAGCATTAGCCAGGTC